TACACTTAGAGACAGACAACCAAGCACACTCACATTCACACCTACAGACAATTTAGAATCACCAATTAACCTCAACATGTTTTTGGACTGTGTGAGAGGAAGCTGGAGAACCCGGAGAGAACTCACGCTGCACGGGGAGAACATGCAAACTCCACGCGGAAAGATCCCGGTGCCCCCACCAGGACGCGAACCGGCGACCTTCTTGCTGCGAGGCAACAGTGCTACCAACTGCGCCAGCCCACACTAAATTATAATTAAGCAAATTTTTATTTGTTATTGCTTTTTTCAGTTTTTAGTTATTTGAGTGACTATTGTGAATTTTGCCTTTTCTTTAATGGAAGGGTGTGAATAAATTTGAGGACGACTGTAAATCTTGCAGCCAGAACAGCTTCAATGTGTCTGGACTCTATATGAGGGACGGACGGCATTCCTTACTTGCTGTTCAGATGATGGTGGTGGAGATGGCTGTCAAACATGTCCTGTTCACTTAGGTTAAGATCTGGGGACCATAAGATAAGATAAATCTTTATTGTCATTGTACAGTCATACTTTTGTACGATAATACAATGAAATTCGCTTCTCATCCACCATGGTGCTAAAATAAAGGACGTGCAATTGTCAAAGATGCACACATACAGTTCATGTAACTCATCAGATATGTGAAATATGCCAGCTATGTCAAATAAGTAAATGTCAAAAATAACATTATGTGCAGTTATGAATATTATCAGAAACCTTAACATCTGATTCACATCATTTTTATCAAGCTATTCAGTGAACCCTCTATGGATGAAAGAACTGTTATCCTGGAGAAGACCACTGTCAGCAGCATAGACATGTTTCATTATTGGATAAAGGGTGATCACTCAGAACAACTTTGTATTGATTTGCATTGACCCTGCCCTCTCATGGGACAAATAAGCACAAACGATGATTACGAAAAGCCCCCTACAGCATAACAGAGCCACTGGATTACCTTACTGTGGAGGTCAGAGGTTCAGGTTTTTCCTTTAAATTGTACATTATGTTATCATTTAAACATTTAGACAGCAGAGAGTTTTAACCCCTCAGTCATAATATATAATATTGATAAAATTATTGTTAAGTACACTTTTTTTCCAGTTAAACGGGGCCAGATGATGAATGATGTGTTTGTAAAGCACTTTGCATCGCTGTTTCTTTTCTGTCTCTTCCCCCAGACACAAAAACTGACCTGTTCCATGAAATCAGATGTTGTACTTCGATATGGAAAAACAGATTTTGGACCATTTGAGCAACTACTTCAACACTGACACTTACTTTCCCATCTCTGCAAATGATAACTGAAAATAAATGAGTCTTTCATCACAACTCAAAAGAATTTCCGAGCTTAAGGGTCATTAAACTAGCGATGAATTCATTTCTGAATTATACCTGTCTGACACTACCTCTGAGCCTGCTAATGAACTTTTTCTCCTTTTCTGTTTTAATTGCTGTTTCTTAAAACTAGATTCCCAACTGCAACCAAAAGAAAACAGAAAAATACATTTGGGTTATGCTTTATTCATTTCAACATTGATTTCGTACAAAATATCCAGTATATTACCTTAATTAAGCATGTTTTTGAAACAAAAAACCTACGAATGTGAAGTAAAAATCAAAGTACATGTGTAGGGTCACTGTTACTTTTTTACGAGACCCCACTGAAGCAATTTGGTCGCAGCGTAACAGAAAAGCATGCAAGAAACAGCAACAACAATACAACTTTAATTCATTTTCCTTTCATGACATTGCAGTCCAAATAGCATTTAAACAAGGTGCATGCTCAGTTTCAGAATAAACATTGCATTTTCTGAGAAAGGGCAGCACTGGATAGATTATTTTGTGTGCACACACTCCACGCCATAGTAACATCAGAAACAGAGTTTTGTTTTTCTCCAAGCAGTTTGCACAGATTAGCTGTACTGGGTTGATGTGATCCCATAGTTATGCCAAACATTAGACTTATTACATGTTCATTGCACTGATAAAATACAAGTATTTAGAGATTTTGAATTGCACTTCTGTATTTCCAGTGTCCTCCTGAGGCCTCTACAACTCATCCTGTTCATATGTAGGATATTACATGCTGCCCTGTGGATAAGAGATTTGCAGCAACAGGAGCTGCAGCCATCACTGGCTCGTATATCTTTTCCTTCACGGTGTATTAGCTCACTCTGACCTCGGCTCAGATAACATGCCAAGGTCCTGAACACACACACCTTTGCCAGTAAAAGCACTATGCTCAGAACAGATTTGCAAAAAGAACTGTATCTATCTTACTCCTGCATACAGCCTGCCTGTTTTCATTCATCCTAACCTCCTAACAGCACAGCTATTCTTTGGAGCCCACACAACTGCTACGTTTAAGTGGGTACTCATGCAGCATATCTTTAGAAAGCTCTTGAGATTCTTGTGATTTGACTGATGCAAACCATTTCACAACTGCGGCCAAATCAGCTCCTCTGTCAGAGCACCAAGAAACAGGTACAAAATTGTGGCATCTCAACTATGAGGCCTCATATCAGGGATGGGCTGGGGCTGGACTTTGTCTCGAACAGGGCGACCACAACCAGGAAGCATACATTTGGCAAGATGCTATCCCATAATACTACCAGTCAAGACATTACACTCCCAGTAGAAAGTAGCATCACAATACTGCTGCTGATGAGACTTTGTTTAATATTGTCAGCTCTCACTATAAGTATTGACCTCATGTGATGTATTTGTCAATCAGCTGTGTGTAACCAGAGCCTCACATTTGACAATGCTTTGGAGTGAATGCAATCACATCACCTCAATATATAAGGAACAGATTATATAATGAGAAATGTTAGATATGAAAGACACGCTCCAGAGGTCTTGCAGGCTGTAGGGGAGAACGCAGGAACCCGAAAATGCACATTATACTTTATAAGTATTGATGACTGCAGAGTCTGTAGTTCTCCAGCTTGAGCTAAACTTTAGAGACTTTTAAAGACTGTAGGAGTATGAAGACATATTTCCATACATGGCCAGTGTGATGTTGTAGCAGCTTCTTCAGAGGATAATTTCTCTCTGCACATCTGTCTGTGACAACACCACTGTCAAGATGTTTTTCTCTGAGGCCGTAAGCATGAATGCCTCCAGGTATTCCAGTGAATCTCTGTTTCTTCTGATGTATGTCAGGACAGAGAAGCTTCTCTCACAAGCAGAGTGAGAAAAAACTTGTATCCAAAGCGAAAACTATGCCAACAGGTTATATCATGTGCGCAGTTGACAGCAACGTGTTGAGCAATCTGTACAAGAACTGCAGATGTTGTTTTGCTCGTCTGCCTCGTTTGCCCCTCCATCATCTTCTCCTGACTGTGTACTCATCAAAGTATTGGTTGTTAAAAGCCGAGGCCACTGAGCTGCCCGGCGCTTTAACTCACATGTTCGGTTCTCCTGCTGAGATGATCCACCTTGGTAAAGCAATTAGTCCAAAACACAACTTTATCTAACATTTTTGTATTTACTGCCTGGAAATAATTCAAAACACCAACAACTTCGGCACAACTCAGCACCCTGCAGCCTGTGGATTGATCTGACGTTGTAGGGCATGTTTACAGTCATGTTCTTAGAGCTGAACATGGGTGTATTAAAATGCTCTGCCATTGCTGATTGCCTGCTATTCCTGAGATGGGTAATGACTGGTAAGAAGTCCCTCATGATCTGTCAGTCTCGTCACCTCGGTAGCTTGTTAGAGGATGCAGCTAATGAGCAAAGGAGAGGCACAGCAGCTTTTGATTGTCTCAGCAACTCTACGAGGAATTGAGGGATGCCTGCAACAGGAACTGTCTCCCTCACCCGGTAATTGCCATTGATGAGCTAATGGTTGACTTCAAAACCTGCATAGTGCTCAAACAATGTATTAAAAATAAGCCTGGTCACTGGGGATATTAGCGCTTCACTCTGACAGACTCCAGGAATGGTGACACATGGGATTTTGTTTGGTCTACAAAGGAAAGCTCCAGGGAGGGACTCAGTTATGAGTTGACGATAGAACTAAATGAGATGCAGTTGCTGGGCAGCAGCTACAAACTCTTTGTTGACAATTTTTACACAAGTCCCAACCTTTTGTGTGATCTGCTTTAGAGGAAGACCTGGGCGTGCAGAACC